GGGGGGGGGGGGGGGGGGGGGGGGGTAGAGGGGTAGCGGAGGGAGAGGAGAAAGGGTGGATATGGGCCGCGGTGCGACTACTTCTCTGCACTGACGATATCTCCCTGTAACAATCCCGAGAGCCACTAGTCCTCTCTCCACTCTAGCCCTTGGCTTGAATTTTAATCGTTAAATTTTATTGGCCCACGGCAGGTCAACTACTGCCATATAATTGCCACAATTTCGTAATACGTTTGTGGCCCATCCTCTTATTCCAACCCCCCAACTACTCGGTTGTTCATTTTTGCGATAACAATATTGTGGATAGATATGTGCTCCGTACTCGGGTTTTTAGTGCTACAATGCCGGGGTTTTGGAATTGTCTGCAGTTTCAGTATTGCGATTGGTTTTTATGGAATCCCAGGGAAAGGGCCTTTTGGGTTTATGAGCAATTGATGCGGATAAATTGTGACAAATTGACTTTATGAATCATTATGATTTTAATGTGATGATTTTAGGATTTTTTGGAATTTATTATTTTTATTTTTCTTCCTTTCCACGGAAATTAATGAAATCGATGAATTATTGATTAAATGCCGATTATAAACACCAATTTAAGAGCCATTTTGCACCTTTATGTAGGAAAAACCTATTTTGTAAAATTTTTAATTTCAGGATTTTTCTTTTCTTGGTTTTATTTTTAAGTTTTTTAATTTTCATTTTGTCTTTATTATTTTTAGTCATTTTAAATCTCCCATTAAATGTAAAATCATGTCAAAAATAAGTGATTTTGAATGAAAATATCATGACCATCTTTAAATTTTTCATATCAACATTACGAAATTTAAAAAAAATTGATTGCTGCATCATAACTGAAATAATTGCTTCATTAAATAATATCCCTCGTAACGAGATTTAATGAGTTATTCCCCGGTGATTAAATCACTGTTATTACACAAATTAATGTGTATCGGGAAGCAATAAAAGAATATTACATAAATCCGTCCGATATTAATTAACGAATTTTTGAAGCATGAATTCATCAATTACACAAAAGGAATTAAATTACCGATGAATTTATCATCGCGAAATGACAGTTCTCGGGTATTATCGACAATTGTGACTCACTACAGCTGCACTAAGTCGACTGAAGTCGACTGAAGTCTTCGCTGCAGCCCCAGCATCATTCATGGACCCGTAATCCGGATTTCCGAAATTTTCTCATTAAAGGGGGAAATTGTTTTTGTGGATTTTCGGAGGCTTTGGATTAATATTATCGATTGGGGGGTGGGTGGGGGTAAGTAGAGGCTTGAGAGTAATTGTTGATCATCAAGAGATAATGGAAGAACATTTTCTCATAAGAAAATTCGAAATAACCCAAGTAAATTACCACAAGAAGGATTAAAAATACACTTGACTAAAGTATATTTTATACTCAATCGGGGGATGGGTATTTCAATTCGAAGATGATTCTTTTGTATCAGACCGGGCTGTAGCAAGCCCTCTCAAGCGTAATATAAGGGTCAGGCACTGAGTGCCAGAATATGCGGGTCAAAAAGTGGAGGTTAAAAAATGAGGGTCAGAATATAAAAGTAAAAAAAATAGGTGTCAGGCACTGAGGGTCTAAATATAAGTCATATATTATGCTTGATCACAGTATTTAGCCCTTATGTGACCCTCATTGCCTGACACCCACTTTTTTGACTTTTATATTCTGACCCTCTTTTTTTTAACCCTAACATTCTGACCCTCATTCCTTCACCTTTCCATTCAGGCCTTCAGTTTTTCACTCTAATATTCCGACCCTCATTTTTTAACCTCCACTTTTTGACCCGCATATTCTCACACTCAGCGTCTGACCCTTATATTACAGTTGAGAGCGCTTGGTGCAACCCGGGCTCATACGAAATAATCATCCTCGAATTGAAATACCCGTCCCCCATTAGAGTATGAAATATACTCAATTCAAGAAATTTTTTTTTGTGTAATTAAAACCCTGAATATACCATAAATAGGGGAGGGTGGGGCAAAACGGCCCCCCTTCAATTGTCAATAACTTGTGAATGACATTGTGAAAATTCCCAGTTTCAACTTCATTTTGAAGATAATTTTTCATTCTTCAAAACGAGCTCTAACTCATCCCAATCGGATTATTGAATCGGAAAATATTGACGATTGAAGGGGGGCCGTTTTGCCCCATCCTCCCCTAATTAAAAATATATGATATAAATCTCCTCCCGCGATGGGGAATTAAATGATAAATAAAAAATGGGGTCACGAAACAGCAGAAAAAATGAAAATTAACGCAAATCTGATTCTCATCATCTAAAATTCACAAGTTACATCTCCACTATTTTTTTCACCATTTCCACACTTTGGTGTGAAATGTAATTAATGTGAAAAAGCGTTGGCACATATACAAGTTCCATCAGAGGCAGCGGTGAGAGGGTACACCATATCCAGGAGAGAGAGAGCTAAGTTAAATGAGGTAATTAAAACATTGCACGAGTGGATGTGTATACGAATGTTCCATTTCTACGAGTTCTGATGTTCATCTGTGCCTTTAACACTTGTTGAAAAAACGGAAAACGTATAAATGGGTAAACAGGGGAATAGTGGGGACGGCGAACAAAAATAGAGTCATGAAGATTATGGTGGAGAGATAGTCGGAAAATGGGAAAATGTTTTTCCGCTGCAATCAGGAATTAATGGATTTTTTTTAATGCCATATTGTCTTTTTGGGAAAGGGGGAAAAAAAATTATTAGATTTTTTTCAAACATCATTCCCCTGGCATTTTCTGCGGACAATAGAGGGCAGTTTTTTTAATAATAATGCGAATGCGGGGATGTACAACATTTGTGAAAATTCAGAGTTGCAAATTAACAACAAGATATTTAATAGATTTAATTCACTCGGATGTTCAATACGAGTTTCAAAAAATTTTACTATCGACAAATCTTCGAATGCTTATCAAAATATTTTCTTTTCCCTCTTGTTAATCAATTAATTGGATTAAATATTTGAAAAGTTGTTTTGAAACTGAATATTCAGAGCTATTACAATCTAGGACGATGGAAAAATGAAATGGACAAGTTTTGAGAGAAGTTTTTAAGTGAAGAGT